AGAGCAGATTAAGCCGGTCTTGGAGTGCATGTGTGTAAATGCATGGAGCGTGACCAATAAGCTTGGTGAGCTGCAGCTCAAGTTGCCACTATGATGTAGTGGCAATTATGGAGACCTGGCTCAAGCAAGGACAGGAATGGGAGCTGAACATTCCTGGCTACAACCTATTCAGGAGGTATAGGGAAGGGAAAAAAGGAGGAGGGGTGGCAATACTCATTAGGGTCACGGTCCTGGAAAAGGACAATGTGCAAGGGTGGAAATAGCGGAGGCTCTGGCCACAATCCTTCAATCCTTTTTGGATACTGGAGTGGTGCCGGAGGACTGGAAGGTTGCAAATGTTACTCCCCTGTACAAAAAGGGGTAGAAGGATAAACCTGAGAACTACAGGCCAATCAGCCTAACATCAGTAGTAGGGAAACTTCTGGAATATATAATCCGGGACGATATAGATTCTCACTTAGAAAAATATGGTTTAACGAAAGACAGTCAACATGTATTTGTTAAAGGCAGATCATGTCTGACAAACCTAACAGAATTTTTTGATGAAGTGACTGAGAGGGTGGATGAAGGTAGTGCAGTAGACGTAGTTTATTTAGATTTTCAAAAGGCATTTGACAAAGTGCCACATAAGAGACTTATAAGCAAAATAGAAGCCCCCACGGTATTAAAGGATCTGTGGCAACATGGATCCAGAACTGTCTAAGAGACAGAAGGCAGAGAGTGGTAGTGAATGGTTGCTTTTCTGACTGGAGGGAGGTGTGTAGTGGTGTCCCTCAGGGGTCGGTATTGGGACCACTGCTCTTTCTGATCTATATTAATGATCTGGACCTGATATAGAGAGTACAATTTCCAAATTTGCAGATGATACTAAACTAGAAAAAGTAGTTAATGGTGAGGAGGATAGCACCACACTCCAAGAGGACTTAATCTGCCTTTAACAAATTTAAATGTTAAATGTTGACTGTCCTTTATTAAACCATATTTTTCTAAGTGAGAATTTATAAATGGTTAAACGTGGCAGATGAGATTTAATGTGGAGAAATGCTAAGTGTTGCATTTTGGTAGGAAGAATGAGAAAAGGCAGTATAAGCTAGATGGTACAATCTTAAAAAAGGGCAAATGAACAGAGAAACCTGGGAGTCCACATAAGCAAATCTCTGAAGATAGCAGGCCAAATAGATAAAGCTGTTAAAAAAGCATATAGGATAATAGGTTTTATAAATAGGGGCATAGAATTCATAAGCCAAGAGGTTATGTTGAATATTTATAAAATGCTGGTTAGGCCTCAGTTGGAGACTGCGTCCAGTTCTGGGCACGCACTTTAGGAAAGATGTTAGGGAATTGGAGAGGGTGCAACGGAGGTTTACCAGGATGGTACCAGGAATGAAGGACCTTAGTGATGAGAAGAGGTTAGCAAAACTAGGATGATTCTCCCTAGAACAGAGAAGATTAAGAGGTTTTCAAGATCATGAGAGGATTTGATAAATTGAACCGGGAAAAACTGTTTCCACTGTCATGTGGGTCAGTAACCCGAGGACACCGATTTAGGTTAGTTGTTAAAAGAAACAAAGTTAGGAAAAATATTTCCACCCAGCAAGTTGTTTGGATCTGGAATGCATTACCTGAAAGGGTAGTGGAAGCCGATTCAATAACAACTATTAAGAGAGAAGTAGATGGGTATTTGAGGAGGACAAGATTGCAGGGCTATGGAGAGAAAGCGGGTCAGTGGCATTGAGTTGGATTGCTCTTTTCGGAGTCAGCGCAGACATGATGGCCAAATGACCTATTTCTGTGCTGTATGATTCTATGAAATCTGAAGTCTCGGTGGGGTGATGCAGCATCCTAAAGATGAATCGCTGATACGACTAAATATAATTTTAGAAGGAATGGACTACATTCTCCTCCTCCCCGCTCACCACTAGTGGCTGCATCTTCGGTCGCTATCCTCCGGCTCTCTGGAACTCTTTTCCCAAACCACTTTGCCTAACTTCTTCTCTCCCCATGTTCAAAACCCTCCTTGTACACCTTTTTGACTATGGTTTTGGTCCCCACCCTTAACTCTTTTTGATCAGTATCATTAATTTGCCTTTCTCTCTGCTCAGTTCTCCCTATCAAGTCTGCAAGTACTTTGAGACATGCGAGTTGACATTGTTGTTCTGCTGTTTACCACTGTGTCCTATCGGTATTTTTAGATTGTGCAAGGTCACAAATGCGTTACTGTTAATAGTAAAATAACCACCTGAATCTACTGATTAGATCAGTATATTTACCAGGTGAGCTTAATGGGTGAACATTGGAAAAGATGAAAGAGCGTCTAATAGGTATAATAATCATAATCTTTGCATTTGGTTTAGAGCCATTTATATGGGGAGTGTCAAAGTGCTTCATAGTATGTACTGTAAGGTGCCATGCCTGTGTTTTGTATATTGGAAGAGATGAAATTAACACATCTGTTATTTTAGTGCAGAATCTAATTGTGGCTCCAGTGGCACACAGGAAACCCATTTAAATCTGAAGGCACTCTGAATCTAAAGATTATGAGTTCAAGGCCCACATTAGGACGTTGGTCTAGTCTGCTACTCCAGTGCAGTGCTGGAGGAACTCAGCCATATTGAAAGTGCTATCCTTTGGTTAAACAAAAGTCCCTTCTGCCTGATCAAGTAGATGTTAAAGATCCCATACCATCATTCAGAAAGAGAAGGGAGTATCTACTGGTGATTAAATTTTGCCTGAGCTTACTGTAGACCTAAATAAAAAAAAAGTAAAGATGCTTGTTCTTAGCTTCATTTTCTGGGCAGGAAGTAACGTCAAGGCAGGCATCTTAACCGTGTGCCTCCTTACAACATGGTCTCTTGATGTCTCTTCATATCTGTGGATGTGCACCAAACAAGGCAGGACGAAACCTTGGGCAAGTTTCCTTCACACACCCGATAATAATCCCTCCAAAACAATAATAAATTGGTCATTTTCAATCCACGAACTGTTTGTGGGACACTGCTGTGCTCAATTGGCTGCCGCATTTCGCCCACAAATATGCGGTCAATTCACTTGACTGTATATTCTGTGAAGCGCTTTGAGACGTCTAGAAGACGTAAAAAGCACTATATCAAATGCAGGGATTATTATTATTATTATTATTATTAAATATTGATCCACAAACTAGTGGTATAAATGATTTGCAAGTAATTACAATTGCCTTCACCCACTCCTCTACACACCCCTTTCGCTCAGCTGGCTCCAGCCTCCTGCACATCCCTCATCCCCTTCGCTCTGCTTAATGCAGCCCGAGATGCTGGAACTCTCCCTCTCAATCCCTCAGCCTTGCCGCCTCCTTGTTCATTTTCAGATCACCTTGAAGACCTTCCTCTTCTACTGTGCTTATAGTCACTTCCCCTCTCTCCCTGGCTGGTGTCAAGTTCTGCTATTGTTGTGCGCTACCCCGTGCTATATAAATGCAAGTTGTTTACTGGAAACCAAACTGGCTTGTGACCAGTTAGGAACAGTTTTGTCTTTGACTTTAGTTCTGCATTGCCGATTGGTCCATTTCTAAGCAAACTACTTAACTATCTTACACCAAATCTTTTAATGAAACTAAAAAGATGCTATTCATCTAAATAGGAAACAGGAAATTAGCAGACTGTACTACCAATTCTCATAACATAAAATACTGTGACTGCAGGACTTTTGCTTCCGTCCTTACTCGATCTCTCCTTAAAACTCTCTGAACCCATGCGCAACTTAGGATAACCAGGGATCGAACCTGATGCCTTCCTCCCCCATGTCCGGTCCCTGGCCAGGACTGCTTTCCTCCCCCTCTGCCACATTGTCTGTCTCCGACAATATCTCATTCCACAAGCTGCTGAAACCCTTGGCCACGCCTTTGTCACCTCTCGGCTGGAGTACTCAAACGCCCTCCTTGCTGGTCTCCCCTCCTCCACTATTCACAGAATTCAACTCATCCTAAACTCCGCCACCCATGTTCCCACCCACACTAAACTCCGCACCCAGATTAACCCAGCCCTTGCCAAACTCCATTGACTCCCTGTCACAGAGTGAATCGACTTCAAGATCCTCGCTCTAGTTTTTAAATCCCAACATTCCTTGGCACCGCCCTATCTCTTCAACCTACTCTCTCCTCACAGCACTACCCACTGCCTCCACGCTACTGGCTCTGGCCTCCTCCTTGTTCCTCGAATCCTCTATTTTACCGTTGGCAGCCATGCCTTCAGCCACCACACCTTGAAGCTATGGAACTCCCTCCCTCAATCCCTTCGCCTTGCCCCCTCTTTCCCCACTTTCAGGTTGTGCCTGAAGACCTTCCTCTTGAACCGTGCCTAAGGTCACCTTCCCCCTCCCTATGGTTTGGCATTGGGTTCCGCCAATGTTAAGTGCTCTGGGACACCAAAAGGACATGCCTTCTGCCTGTTCAGGTGGACATTATAATATATTAATATATAATATAATAATAATCCTTGCATTTGATATAGTGCTTTTCACATCTTCTCGACGTCTCAAAGCGCTTCACAGAATAGACTGTAAAGTGAATTGACTATATATTTGTGAGCGAAACATTAAAGAACCCATTAGATTAGTTGAAAAGAAAAGTGAGTTTCTCAATGTCCTAGCCAACAACCCCTCAAATAAAATTGGTCATTCACTTCATGGCTGTTTGCAGGACATTGCTATGCTCAAATTGGCTGCTGCGTTCATCTACACTTAACACTAATTACTACTCCACGTAATAGCAATTGGTCTTAGACATTTCAATATGTTAAAGCACTATATCGTTGCAAGGAATACTGCTATATTTCTGATTCAACTATTCAATTCCCTGGGTTTGCTTTTAGCAATTATATAATATGTTGTTTTTGTATTTCATTATCTTAAAAAAAACATTATCACAGTAAATCTTGTAATGGGCTTTAAGATTTCCAAACTGATCTTATCAACTTGTTGAATCAGTCGTTTTCGGTTGTCTGGATGATGGTCACAATATGCTGTTTTCCATGTTACAACAAGTAGATTTATTGGAAAAATTCTTGTGGCATATTGCGTAAAGATTCTATTACAGAATATGCTAATCATTCAAAACTTTAAATACATACAATATTTTTGATGTACAGTTTCAAACACAGATATTTACAAAACTGCAGATTTGAGCTAATAATCAATCACTTATACTTTATTGAATTTGCATGGGGCAGACTTGCTGTATACATGTAAAACATAAGTAACGAACTTACATTTGTGCTACATTCTGCTACACACATACACAAACATATGAATGGACTCAAGTTCTCTAGCTTTGCCAGCGATAGTAATTCATTTCAAATTCCTGTCTCTTTCTGAATTACTTCTGTTACACAATGCATGTTCCAAAAAGCTTCTCTATAAACTGTTATTACAAAATGGGCTGTCATTCAAAACTATTGTCACTGTTTAAAGTAACTCAGTTAAGAGAAACACTTTGAGATGCTACAGGAAAACACTGAATTAAATATGAGTTATTATTCATTGAAAGAACACAAAGTCTTTGACAGCTCTGCCCATCACAAATAACAGCTGGCAACAAGATATCTATGTGGAAGCAAAATATTTGTTTAGTTGGTCAAAGAGGTATGATTCCAAATTATAGTACTACTAAATGTATCCTTTTTTTCTCTTTCTACTTCCAGTTTGTTATCATGTTCAATGCATTACCTAAGTGAAGTGTATCACAAAAAAAGTTCACAAATGGGACAGGACATTCAAATTGAAACAGAGGCTGTTACCCAACAGCTCCATACTCCAGGCACAACTGGAGTCCTATCTCAAGCCATTTAGAAATGGCCATCAAACCAGTTAAAATGAATCACAAAAGATTGTTTGCTTGGGTTTACGTTCTTTTGATAAACTAAAAATGATCAGTTTTACTTGTGACGTAAATTGTTAGGATTACTTTTTGGACTTGTATATCCTTCAGAAAGTCTCCCCAAATCCCTCTGTCTCACCCCCTTCAAATTCCATTGTTTTGTTTCTTGGAAATTGCAACTGCGTGTTTTTCATTGGAACAGGCCAAGGCATGACGTATGATATCAGTCTACTAGTATCCAACCTTCACTGGATACCTTCCACGCCCTTCAAACTAGCTGACAAAGAGAGTAGAATTATCTATTTCAGGTCAGTAAAGCCACTGAGTATAGATGAGGCTTTCCTTCTTCCACAGGAACATACTCTACAAATCAGAATTACACAGAGAAATCAGAAGGGGATTATATACAATGCTGCACTGCATAAAGGGGAACTCCAAAACAACCAAAAGGAGTCAATGATTCAGCTTGTACCACTGAGTGTATGCATAAGTGAAAGATCACTGGATATGCCAAGAGAAATCAAATCTATTGCCTATTGACAATAAATATTATTAACTTACCATTGTTTTTTTTTAAATCACTTTACCAAATATGTTTGCAAACAAAACTGGAATGAAGCATTTTTGTGTGACCACGAGATTCCCTTCCTCTGCACAGGGCTACCTGCTGTTGGTTGTGAGCAGAACCCACTGCCTGCAAAGCCGGCTCCTGTGACAAGGCTCTGGCTCGCCCTCAGCCTCTGCACTGGCTCTTGGTGAGTCTTCACTTCCAGCAGGTGCAGGTTTCAGGTCGGGAAACTCCACTCTCTTTCCCTGCCAAGTCACTGTCATCACGACTGTCTGTCCCAAATGACATCTTGTTTAATTGTTTCGGTCCTTATGTTAGAGGTCGCTATCTGCATCTCCTGCTTTCTGGAAGAGATTTTACAGCACAATATCCTGGCCAGACCTTTCTTCACCACAGATGTGTTTAAAATGATGAAAATCCACGGGTCGATGATTGAATTAAAGGACAAGCATCTGAGAGCTGTAAGGTCTCTCATGTGTTCATTGTCAGGAACAATTGCCCCAATGAACGCCCGAACCTGACAAAAAGAAAAAGGGGTCAGATTATTTTTTTAAACTGCAGGATGAAAGCAAGCTTTAGGAAGTGACGATATTTTAATTGCTATAAAAGTATATTTGATGCAGTTTCTTACCATAACAGTATTTATATAGTGCCCTTCATGTAGGAGTGTCACAAAGCTCTTGAATACTATAAGAGTATGTCTATAAAAAAATACTCTGTGTGTTTATTGCAGTATATTACTGTTATCATTGTAAAAGTGTAAATAGACAGAGGTCGCTGTTCTATTTTAATCTGAAAGCAGCAGTCAGTGTGGCTTTCTTACCACATTAAGTTGCATCCAGCAAACAGCTCTCCAGGAACCTCTAACTTAATAACAATAATCCTTGTGTTTGATATAGCACCGTATCACATGGTTGAGACGTCCCAAAGCGCTTCATAGAATATACTGCAAAGTGGAACGACTGCGGTCCGTGGGCGAAACCCGGCAGCCAATTTGCCGCAGCAATGCCCCACAAACAGAGGTGGGTCGAGTGACCCAATTTTTTATTTAATAATAATAATAATAACCCTTGTGTTCGATAGAGCGCTTCGGGTAAATATATACAAATATATTTGTGAGCCAAAGGCAAACAAACAAAAACAAAAAAAAAAATTATTTTAGGAGGGATTATTACTCCTGGAAAGTAATAATCTGCCCATCGACTTGACAACCGGGTTTGCCGAGTGAAAGAGAGGCGTTGAGGTGGAGTCCCTGCGCGGTGTCGCTCGGTTCACGTCGCTTACCGTGAGCGGTACGGAACACACCACGAAGATGACGGTCATGATGACTAAGAGCACGAGGTGATTCGCCTCCTCGGAGTGGGGGAAGCGGTCTCTCCTCCGGGTCCCCGGGAGGGTCGAGCCCCGGCGGGCGCTCTGCCGGCGGCACATGAGGCACAGGTTGACGAAGACGGACAGGTTGCAGATCAGGATGGAGACGATCAGCACCAGCATCAGCGCCGCGTACAGCACCGAGTAAGCGAGGTGCGCCCTGGCCGGGGAGCTCAGTCTGATGAAGCACCAGGTCCCGGGGCAGTACTGCGTGTTCTCCCCGAAGCCCCACTGCGGGAGGAGGCAGAAGAGGACGCAGAAGGCGTAGGCGGCCGACACGGCCACGATGCCGCAGCGCTTGCTGGTGTGCCGCTGGTAGAAGTAAGGGTGGCTGAGCGACAGGCAGCGCTCCACGGCCATGGCGAACAGGATGAGCATGGACGCCAGTCCGAAGAAAGCCATGGCGAAGGCGCAGTACTGGCACAGGTCCAGCGCCTTCAGGCTCCTTCCCCGGGCGTAAGCCGTGAGCACCACCGGGCTGATGAGCAGAGTGCCGGCCAGGTCGGTGACCAGCAGCCCGGTCACCAGGATGTGGAAGAGCGATACGTGGCTCCGGTTGTCTTTCTTGTGCAGCCCCAGTATGACCAGGGCCACCAGGTTACCGGTCACCCCGGCGGTGAACATGAGGGCGCTGGTCAGGGGGCTCTCGGCCGCGGAGACGCTGCTGGTGTTCTCGCAGGTCTCGTTGGACAACATAGTTCATTCACCCTCTCTCTCTCTCTCTCTCCCTCTCTCTCTCTCTCCAAAACAGCCGCCAGACGCACCTTTGCCAGAAAGAGTACTTTCCCAACCGCTGTCCCAGATGTCACGGTCGCCAACCGAATCCTTTTTCATGTCATCGCCCTTTGTGCTTTACGTTTTTCTTCCCTTTTTTTTTAAACAGATATATATATTAAAAAACTCTTCTCTCCCTTTCTCTCTCTCTCTATATATATATCTATGTAAATCTACACTTCACCCATACGAAAAATATTATCTTAAAAGAATGTAAAAGAAAAAAAAATACACCCAATTTACACCTCTTTCCCCCCCACACTCTCACTCTCTCTCTCTCTCTCTCTCCTCTGCTCAAAAGCGAACAAACTCTTCCACATATATATATATAATATATATAAAGAAAACACCAACACGGAAAGAAACGTACAAAATCCAGTCGATTTGCCTCTTAAAATTCCCTTTTTTTTCCACACACCCCCTCTCTCTCTCTCTCTCTCTCTCTCCCTCTTACTCTTCTTCAAGAAAAATCCAAACAAACACTCTCCTCCTCCTAATCCTCTTTTTCTCACGCCGGTTAAAATGCGATGGGAAAATCGAGACAACCGGCGGTGAGAGGGTGAGAGAGAGGGTGAGAGAGAGGGGGTGGGGGTGGGGGGGGTGAGGGGTGGGGGGGGGGGCGGGAGGTGAGGGGTGGCGGTGGGAGGGGGGAACGTGCGACGCGGGTTGAAGAGAGGCTCGAAGTTACTTGAGCAACATGTGGTGGTGGTGAGAGGTTGTGAGGGACTGGATGACTCCCCCCACACACACCCCCCCCCACACCCCCACGTCACGTCACGCTACGCTATACTGACAAATCTCTTCCTTAAAAGTTCACCCGGTTAACCGCCCTCCTCCTCAACCGCTGCGTAAATGCCAGAAAAGCGCTCGGCGACCCCGAGCCGCCGCCACGAGAGTGAGTGAGAGCTGTGGGAACGCAGTCAGTCAGTCAGTCAGTCACCCTGGCGCCCACCCAGCGATTGACCACCCCCACCCCTACCCTCCCACCCCCCCCCCCACCCCACCTCTCCACCTCTCCCCCCCCACCCCTACCCTCTCCACCCCCACCCCTACCCTCTCCACCCCCACCCCTACCCTCTCCACCCCACCACCCCCACCCCTACCCTCTCCACCCCCACCCCTACCCTCTCCACCCCCCCACCCCTACCTCTCCACCCCCACCCCTCCACCCCACCCTCTCCACCCCACCCCACCCTCTCCACCCCCACTCCCACCCTCTCCACCCCCCATCCCACCTCTCCACCCCCACCCTACCCTCTCCACCCCCACCCAACCCCTCTCCACCACCCCCCCACCCCACCCTCTCCCTCCACCCCACCCCACCCCTCACCCCTCCCACCACCCCCCACCCCACCCTCTCCACCCCCCCCCCCACCCCACCCTCTCCCCACCCCCCCCCTCCCTCTCCACCACCCCCACCCCTCCCTCTCCACCCCCCCCCCTCCCCTCCACCACCCCCACCCCCCCCCCCCCCACCCCCACCCTCTCCACCCCCTCACCCCACCCCTCTCCACCACCCCCCCCCCACCACCCCACCCTCTTCCCTCTCCACCAACCCCACCCTCTTCCCTCTCCACCAACCCCCACCCTCTTCCCTCTCCACACCCCCACCCTCTTCCCTCTCCACCACCCCCACCTCTTCCCTCTCCACCACCCCCACCCTCTTCCCTCTCCACCACCCCCACCCTCTTCCCTCTCCACCACCCCCCGCCCTCTTCCCTCTCCACCACCCCCGCCCTCTTCCCTCTCCACCACCCCCGCCCTTCCCTCCCACCCGCCCTCTTCCCTCTCCACCACCCCCCCCTCTCCCTCTCCACCACCCCCGCCTCTTCCCTCTCCACCACCCCGCCCTCTTCCCTCTCCACCACCCCCGCCTCTTCCCTCTCCACCACCCCCACCCTCTTCCCTGCTTCTCCTTTCACATCTCACATCTTCCAGTCACTTTCTCTGCGAACCTCACAGTCTGTCAACTCAACCATTTCTCTCTCACTCTTCTCGCTCTCTCTCTCTCTCTCTCTCTCGTAAATATCTCGAAGGGTTTTCCCCACAGCGAAATCTTGCCATTGGATAAACCGCACTGGGTGGGGAGAGAGGAAGCCAAGAAGTTTCTGAATAATAATAATAATAATCCTTGCATTTGATACAGCGCTTTTCATGTCTTCCAGACGAGTGAATTGACTGTATATTTGGAGACTTGTTCTTTTTAAGAACTGTGGAAAACCACCTTCCAAAAAAAGTTTGAATGTAAGAATTTTCCACAGTTCTGGGCAATGTTAAATTTCAAGAAAAATATCTTGCTGACCAAGACTAGAAGGAAGTTCAAGTTTCTGTTTCGTTCTCAACTTTGATGGGTCTGAAATTCTCTGTGACCAATTTATAAAACCAAGGTCACATTCATAACTTTCACACCGGAGAATGACAAAACAGCACTCAGACCGATTTATTACCACTTCCTTAGCTCCACAGTCCTGTGTGAAGAAAGAAAATTAGATTTGTGGTTAACAGTTTGCGAGATGCAGTTAAAAAGATTTGTAAGACATTTGAACTGAGTGGAAGGCTCATTGTGTACAAAGCGATTTGTTTGTGGGAAGATCTGGACAGGTTGAGTGCTACACAAAGGACTAAGGAATGGTCCTTGTGTTGACAAGGTATGCTTTTTGAGGTGGATTTGACAAACTTTGGAGAGAATGTGGAGGTGGAGAGAGAGAGAAAGAACTACAAAAGAAGCTCCGTGTTGGAATTGACAATGAGCCAGTGATTGAAGCTGATGCAGTGTGAATTGGAAATGAAGCTGAATAAAATTCTAGGCAGCAGAGCAAAGATTGAGCACAAGTGCAGAGGTTCACATACAACGTGTTAGTTAGCGTTGTACTCTAATTTCAGATGTATGTGCTCTGGAAAGAATGTGCAGGAAAGCAAATAGGAGCATTCCTTGGATCAGCCACAGAATGATTGAAGGAGGTGTTTCTCCTGAAGCAGGCTAAGATTATTGGAGATTTAAAATTATTTTAAAATTCCTAGATACATGCATGTCAATATATTCTTGATACTACGTGTAAGGTAAAAACGTAAGAAAATGCATCTCTCGGGATATGGATTAAAGTCCTGTAGCTCAGTGGTTAGAGCACTCGCTTTGCAAGTGAGAGACCTGAGTTCAATTCCAGGCAGAGGGCGAAACCTTGGGCAAGTTTCCTTACTCCACACAGAGCCTAATAATAATCCCTCCAAAAAAACAAAACAATAATAAATTGGTCATTTTCAATCTACGACGGTTTGTGGGACATTGCTGTGTGCAATTGGCTGCCGCGTTCGCCCACAAATATAGTCAATTCACTTTACAGTGTGTTCTGTGAAGCGCTTTGGGATGTCCTCCCGACGTGAAAAGCACTATATCAAATGCAAGGATTATTATTATTATAAAGTGCCACCTCGTGTGGTTGTTGCAATTCAGTAGTTGAAAATAAATATAATAAATAATCGGTCATTCTTTTCTTCCAAGAATCACGTGGATGCAAAGTATTACAGATACATTAGGAACAAACGCGTTTAGAATTTGAAAACATTAGACTAATGAAAGATAATATTTGCTGATAAACATGAATTTAAGACGTGAAAGGAGATGGGCTGCTAAAATGAGCAGTATGGATTTTTCTCCAATTGTATTTTAAAAGTAACTAGTAATGGTGTTTGATTTTCTTAGATTAGAAAATGATTTGTTTTCTCCCCTCTTGGAGAGCAAGCAATTAGATACCATTTGTTTCTCTGTGCTCTTTGTTTTAAATGTTGATAGCAAGTGGATTTTCTGGTGTAGTGGAAGCAATATGCTTTATATCATGGCAAATTTCCAGTCTTATTGATGGATGTGTTAGAAGGTGCCCAAGTTGTGGTCAACAAAAGAGAACGATTGTGTTATACAAACACACACCCTGCTGGTTGCTCACAGAACAGCTCAGGGCAAACGTGCTCTGGATAACAGATGCATCTTTATGTATCTTTATACAGCGATATAAATGGTTGAAAAATTGAACAAAATAAAAGACAGGTTATATGGAATGAACTTGCCCTCTGTCGACAGAATGAGGAAAGAACTCTGCAGAAGTCAAAAACAAATTCTAGCTCGAATGAGTGGATTTTAAGCACAATGCAAGTTGTTGTTATTGTTTGTGGGTTTGTTTGTTTGTTGTTGCGGTGGTTGTTGTGGTTTGTGTTTGTTTGTCTTGATTTGTTGTCGTTTTGGTTGTGTGTGTTTGATGTTGAGGTTTGGTGGTGATGGTGTTGTTTATGGCTGTTGTTGGTCTTGTTTGTTGTTCATCTTTCTAAATAAAGGAATCCAAGAACCTGTTTAAAATGTGTGCACTCGCTCACTCTGCTCCTATGGGAAGCAAGGTATGTTTTGTAGGTGAGTGTTGAATGGAGCCTGGAGCTAGCAGAAAGTTGCTCAGAATAGTTATCAAGACATGAGTAATAGGTAAGGCAGGGATGTGCCTGAGGAGGAGGGCGAATGGCCCAAGGGAGACAGAGAGGTTTGAGAGAGGGTGAGCATGGAAAGGTGGGAGGGGAGAGGGAGGCTGAGTGAGCTCAAGAAGGATGAGGGCAAAAATGACAGAGTAGCAACTGGTGTCTAAGCTAAGATAATAATATATAATCCTTGCATTTGATATAGCGCTTTTCATGTCTTCTAGACGCCTCAAAGCGCTTCACAGATTACACTGTAAAGTGAATTGACTGTATATTTGTGGGCAAAACGTGGCAGCCATTTGCGCACAGCAGTGTCCCACAATCAGTCGTGGATTGAAGTGACCAATTTATTATTGTTTCTTTTTTTTGAGGGATTATTATCAGGTGTGTGGAGTAAGGAAACTTGCCCAGTGTTTTGCCCTGCTCGGAATCGAACCCAGGTTTCTCGCTTGCGAGGCGAGTGCTCTAACCACTGAGCTACACAATTCCACACACGATGGATAGAGACAAAATTTAGCCAGTGTGACTGGGTAGTGGTGACCTAGCCCTGATTTTTCCTCCGTGCCACTGCTAGCCCCATCCAAGTGGCACAACCCTTTTTTCATTACAAAAGATAGCAACCCTATTGATCAAATGGTACAGAGTTTCCCCGCCATGTCTGTTTCAGTGAGATGAGGATTGGAATGAGCCCTAAAACATCAAGGGTTGACACCCACTTTCCCTTGAGAGCTTCCACAGATGTTCCAGGCAAGATATAATTTTACTCTGTGGAAATCTAGGGTAATCTTCTTCTTATCAATCCATTGTGTCAGCAAAGGGTGTGGTGTTTATGTTCAGGGTAATTTACAAAGAGATTGTTTAAATCAAAAGCAATTGTAAAATTTTTCATGGCAACTTTATTGAGTCTGTAAATATAATCAGATCTGCCTTATGATGTAGTGAACAATTACCTTGATCTACGTTTTATTTCTGGAGTGAAAAATTGAAATACTAAGTATTAACTGTGGATTATCACTTGGGCAATCTGACCACAAATACAAGTCACAAAATGACCTATGAAATGAGAATTGTGATGCTGTCCTGTTTCTTGGCAAAAGAAAACAATGTTTTTGGATTATTTCCCATAACCAACACTAACATTCTTTATAAGACTTTTTTTCAGCATGTCAAAAAGTGATATGCAAACAAAAAATAGCCATGTGTAATTTAGTTAAAAAACATTTTAGAAGTCTGTGCTCATCAAGGCAAAAGCTAGACCGAATGTACAAGAACACGTATTTATGCTGTGAGGATGGGAATATAGATTTATATTTATACCGGACTCCTTCAGTGTCACACTTTAGACATCTTTAGGCAAAGTAATTACTAAACTGTCTGCTTCCTTTCTTTTGCTTAAGGTTCCTGATGACGAAAATGACTTGAGTAAATTATAAACAAAATGCAAAATACAAACGTTGACTCGCTTTCCTTTCTCCATAGATGCTGCCTGACCTGTTGAGTGTTCCCAGCGATTTCTGTTTTTCTTTTGAGTAAATTATAGCATGGTACAATGCATATCTAAACAAGTTAGCAGCTAATGGTCTTAAGTAAAATTAAGTTTGTAGCTATCTTATCATCGCTCAAATCAATCTGTCAATCTGCACGTGCTGCAGTTAATCATCTATCCTTTCTCTCCCTCTCTCTAGTTTTGTTCCAGATTCATTTATCACTTAATCCAGGCACTCTTTTGTTGATATGCCATTCTGGAATTATTTTACCTTCTTTCAGATCTTGTGCCCTCAATGTAACCATAATTACACAGAAACAACAGCCAAATCACTAGATCTTTGTGTGCATGTCCTTCAAACGGAAAAAAAAGTTTCCAGTTCCTCAGACACAGATTCTTCAAGGGTATTATACATCTAGTCAAAAGCCACTACCTCTTCTTCAATAGCCCTGGAGACTTTGTCAATATTTTGGCTTCACTATCTCCTTGAAACCTGAGTGGAATAATTAATTCTCCTAAATTACTTAAATTAGCCCCATTTACTTTTTCAAGCCCAAATATTATTGTCCCTCAACAACACCTACAAGAGGTTAAGAGTGGTACTCCCCATTTCCACCAACATGCTGAAATATTTACATTTAATCCATCTATTGACCAAAAACAAAATTAACAAAAGCTTTAAATGAAAGCATGCTCCAATTAAACACTATCAATCCCAAATGCAAACTGAAATGATATCAGATACAATTATTTGAATAATAGTTGTTTTTTCTAAAATGTCAAATGAGATGGTTCAAGGATTTGTTTGTGATAATAATATAATAATAATCCTTGCATTTGATATAGCGCTTTTCACGTCTTCTAGACGTATCTAGACTGTATATTTGTGGGCAAAACGCGGCAGCCAATTGCACACAGCAGTGTCCCACAAACAGTCGTGGATTGAAGTGACCAAATTATTATTGGTTTGTTTTGTTTTCATGAGGAATTATTATCCCCAGAAAAGCCAATCGACTAATAACCAGGTTCCTACTTACTGCTTATTAAGCTGTATTTAAGAATTCTATTAAATTTGTCAATTCACGTGGAGTCCTGTAGCTCAGTGGTTAGAGCACTCACTTTGCAAGCGAGATATCTGGGTTCCATTTCAGGCAGGACGAAACCTTGAGCAAGTTTCCTTACTCCACCACGCCTAATAATAAGCCCTCCAAACAAAAAACAATAATAATTGGTGATTTTCAATCCACGACTGTTTTGTGGGACATTGCTGTGCAAAATTGGCTGCTGCATTTCGCCCACAAATATATGGTCAATTCACTTTACAGCATATTCTGTGAAGCGCTTTGAGACGTCTAGAAGACGTGAAAAGCGCTATATCAAATGCAAGGATTATTATTATTATTATAATCTATGAAGCTGATGTTTTGTAAGATCTTGGACCCGGATGGACTCTTTCCCCATGTACTTTGAAAGACTTGCGCAATTTCTAACACTGAAAGCAAAACTTGAGGCTGACGCCAAAGCCAAGCGGAGAATATTAAATCTGCAGCAGTTCTTTCCTTCTCCGTCCTCTAGTGGTAATTGGAGGTTAAGGAATCAGCCTCTCAACAACATAAAGCCATCACCAGATTACAATGACAAGATTGGTTTGGATGAAGATAGTCCTTTAGCCTTTCTTGTAATCACAGAATCATACAATACAATTAAAAATTACATTTGTAAAGCACCTTTCACGTCGTGCGCAGAAGGAGGCCATTTGGCTCATCATGCCTGGTTTGGTTTGAAAGAGCTATCCAATTAGTCCCACTCCCCTGCTCTTTTCCCGTAATCTTGCATTTTTTTTCTTTTCAAATAATATCCAATTCCCTTTTAAAAGTTATTATTGAATCTGCTTCCATCACCCTTTCAGCCAGTGCATTCCAGATCGTAACAACTCACTGCTTAAAAATAAATTTTCATCTCCCCTCTGATTCTTTTGGTTCTTTCTCTGGCTCCGGTCTGCTCCACATCCCCGCCCCAACCGCCCTACCATCGGCGGCCGAGCCTTCAGCCTCTCAGCCCCTAGGCTCTGGAACTCCATCCCTCAGTGCCTTCACCTTGCCTCCTCCCTTTCCTCCTTCAAGGCCGGTCTCAAGACCTTTCTCTTCGACCTTCAGCTCCTCTCTCGACTCTCTACACCCTCCTCGCTCCGTCCCTTCCCTCCACTCACCCTGACCATTTCCCCCCTGCTCGGGTCCCAACCCAATTGTCCAGCGCCTTGGGACGTCCTCCCGACGTGGAAGGTACTCTGTAAATGAAATCTTGTTGTTATTATCTTATTCCACCAGAACACCCACTCCAGCATCCTCTCATCATAGCATCAAGTTGTATTTTTATACATGTCCAGAGTCCTGACCTCAACTTATTTTCCTGCCAACCCATTCCAATGGTCAGTTATCCTCTGCGTAAAGAAAACCTTCCTCGTGTTTGCCCTGAAGTTTCCCTTTGCATCGCTAAACCTTTGTTCTCTTGTTCTATCAAGTTGAACAAGCTAGCTTATCTGTGGGTTGAGGTTCTGCTAGATTTATAGATTTACAGTATAATCAAGTACCTCCTCTTCAATCGTGCCTTCGGTCGCCCACCTCTAACTAGCCTGAGTTTGCGAGATCCACCTAACCTCCTAGAAAGGGGCCGGCTGCAAGCCCCGACTGCCACG